TTGGTGGTCAGTGGGAAGAATGCTCCTTACATTGGTGGCCAGTGAAAATAATTCTCCTTACATTGGTGGGAAGAATGTTCTCCTTACAGACTCTGCACTTGATCATTGGTGCCAGTGGTTTCGTACTGAAAAACCTACTTACCCTTTGCTGCTCACCCTATGGAGTGGTTTTGGTGCATCTCTCTGGAGATCAATCCACCAATGCTCACTACTCAAGGAATTCCTAGCAGCTCCAAGGATAACTTTAGGGCTCCACAGACCCTTGCTTGACAAATGCTGGCCTAATGTATATTAGCAAATCCATAGGATCAATATCTAAACACAGCCTTACCCTATAACACCAATTAAAATGTCCAATTAAAAAGCAATTAAAATTACATCAAGTGTATAAAAAAAGCAGAATCAACGATAATACAGAATTAGCTATTTACCATATCAAGGGACCTAGCTGGGCTGTATGGCTGTACATAAATCTGAAAAGTTGCTAAACAGAATTACAAAGCCTTTGTCAGATAAAAAACAGATATATATACTTCAGGGTTTTTCGCTCCTAACCTACAGTGTTGCCTTAAAGTGCTATATCAAGCCAAAAACTTTTTTTCGAGTTTTGCATAGATTGAGATGGATTAGAACTCCTGTCTGGTTTTACAACTATCTGGGGATTCATAAGGGAGATTTTCCCCACCTGTCTGAAGGAACTGCATACTCATTTTTAAGTGCCGACTGGAGTTCAGCTTCAACTCCCCCTCCTTAGTATACAGACTCACTATCTGTTCACTCACCTACTGCTCCATTCAGATACTAGGAGCAAAGAAACTCCCCAGTACCTTCAGGTATGGAGGAGCATGTGACTGAATCTCCTCCCTCACAAGTGACAGCACTGTTGGTTGGGGATTGGTCTAAGCTCTGTCACATGGGGCATGGAGAGAGTCATCAGCTCTGTGTAAGCTCCAACAAGAGCTACTCCTAGTTTACTCAAGGCCAGGGGCGGACTGACAACTCATGGGGCCCCCGGGCAATAGGGGATCATGGGGCCCCTGTGTCCTTGCCCAAACTCAAAAAAAGCCTATGAAAAAGGTACCAGGGGCATCTCATGGGGCCCCCTACTGACCCCGGGCCCTCGGGCAGTGCCCGAGTTTCCAAATGGTCAGTCCGCCCCTGCTTAAGGCTTTCTTTCCTCACTCCCAGTGGCTGAACAGAGAGGAGCAAGCGTACGTGACTGAATGGAAGAAGCAATACATCAAAGAGATTAAAGTAGAACTACATTGTTTTTTCTATCTGCCCTAACCCTCCTTTCTAAAACACTTATCTGGCTTCATGTCACAGGAAAAACTGAAGGCAATGGAGCCATAGGGAGCAAGGACATGGCTTACTGGCGCTATGTGTACCTCTGGGATATTACGGCACACCTGCTCTGACAGTGTCATATTTCAGGTACTGCAGATATCCATAGGCTGCAAACAAAAATTCAAGAAGGCTTTAAAGAAACCTCTATACCGCTCTCCCTAAATCCTCGCACAGACAATGGGCAGAGCCAAGCTCCAGCCGCTCCCAACAGCACTCAGTTCCTTCTCTCTACCAACTCTGACCTGTGTGTGTGTCCTACAGATCCAGTGGCTACCATCCTCTATCAATCGGATCCCATGTAGCAGAGACTGATGCAAGCAAGTAAGCCTGCAATCACAATGGCTCCTGGGTTCCACTGCCGGGGGGGCGGAATTGCCCCCCTGAAAAATGCCACCCAAAGCCAATGCCTTGTTTGCCTCATGGTAAATACGCCCCTGGGTAACAACCAGATAAAGAAGCACTAGCAATCTCAGAAAATGTAGTCTCAATCTTGTGGCTACAGTATCATTCCTGCACTGGTGAAACAACACAGGCTGTTGGTGGATAGCATAGCTATTAAAACCCAAATCCTGGCTATTTTTAAATTGTTTCCTAAGGGACAAAATATGAGTTCAGGCTGCATTACTCACCTGCAATCCCGAGCAGTAATTTTTCCCACAAGACATCCTCATTTGAATAAAGAAATGCCCGTAGCGAAAAGGAAAAAAGAAAATTAGCGCAGGGCAGGCATGACTAGGCCTAGAGTGGGAAGGAGAATAGAAAGGGTTAATTATGTGCCAGGGGGTGTGGAAAAGTATAGCTGGGGGTGATGGTTGGTAGATGGAGAGCTTTGTTGGGCTCTGCCGCACCTTAGGGTGGGGTGTCCCGGTGGGGGGGCATCAGTCGGAGCTGGACGTTGGTGAGTGAGCTTCCCTCCCGCCCTCCCTATTTTAGGGAGTATTGTGTTCCTCTCGGGGGAAAAGGGGGGTTATTTCGGTCTTGGGCGGTTGTTGGTCTTTGGAGGCGGTTCTTATCTTGGAGGTACAGATAATGGTGTGGGAACCATCGATGGTATGGGATGCCCGGGGACATTCCAGTTAACCAAGGTTTAACTGGAAGGTGGTGGTGCTGCACTGCGGACGGTATGGTTGTCTCCGAGCTGGTTGGTTGAGGCTGGAGGCCTTTGTGTAATATGGTTGTCCGCAGGTGCATTTCAGATCATTTTGGGGGGTGCCTTCGAAGACCAACAACAACAACTCTGTATGTTTCTGTTATAAGGAATGGTTGGTGTGTTAAAATGTTTGTTAATAAAAGGCCATGTTGGCCATTTACTCCAAAATTGGTGTCATGTTTTTCTTTAAGTATAGACAAAAGGGGGGGGATTTGAATGCCCTATCTCTGGTGCTCTAGTCATGCCCATTGTCATTCAACCCAGAAGACAGACTGTTAGTGCAAGGTTACAAATGGAGAAACAGAAAAAGGGCGCACCGACCTAGTGCATTATCGTTTAAAATAATGTAATTGAAGAAAAAAATAGGTATCATACTCACAATGGACATAATAACACAGGCATGTCAAACTGAACAAGATGTATGATCCAAACAACATCTGAGTCCATACGATGGAACCCTGGATGACCAACTGGCTAACGCGTTAGACAGTTGGTTGTTTGGATCATACATCTTGTTCAGTTTGACATGCCTGTGTTATTATGTCCATTGTGAGTATGATACCTATTTTGTTTCTTCAATTAAATTATTTTAAACGATAATGCACTAGGTCGGTGCGCATTTTTTCTGTCTCTCCATTTGTATCCAGTGTATTTGGACCACCCCGGTCTGTTGAGGGCACCAAGCAGTGCATATTCCAGAAAATTCCAGAACATTCCTATTGGGTCTACTGAGTCCTTTCCTAGCGCAGGAGTAAAGTTTTTGTTGTGTTAGTGCAAGGTGTCTGTCACGTACCTGATGGAGGAGCCTAATGTGAAGAGGAAAGTCTCTCTTACAGTTTCAACTCAGGGGCCCCTGGTAGGGTGATAGAAGGCACAGGAGCATGGAGAGGGATGAGTGCCTGTAGCTTGTCCAGTAGTAGCAGGCAACTGGTGCTTCCCTGGAAATAAGCCTGATGGTGGAGACAGCAGGCAGCAGCTGGGCACCAACAAGATGGCCAGCAGAAGAGGATGGACCACTGACAGGTAGCAGGTAGGCCTTGACCTTGAACTATGATGCAGCTGGCTGGCAGATGACAGGTTGCGGACACTAGACTGACTGGTGAAGACCAGGTAAGTAAAGAAACAGTCGGCGGGCACTTGGCTGGTAGGATAAGACAGGATGCAGAGTCAGGCACGCAGGTCAATACGAGACAGGTCAGGCATAAGCGGAGGGCAAATAAATAGTCAAGATGCAACCCAAGGTCAACAATGGTGGAACAGATTCCAATACCACCTCTATGCTGATGACACCCAGATCTATCTCTCCTCTCCCCAGCTCCCCACCTCAATTTCCTCACAATCACAAATCTACTAAGCAACATATCAGCATGGATGTCACATCACTACCTTAAACTCAATCTTTCCAAACTGAGCTTGTAATATTTCCTCCCCCTGATCCTCCACTCATAACTTTACCACTAAGATCAACAGCGCAACCATTGGTCCTTCCCCTCATGCCAGGGTACTAGGCGTAATCCTAGACTCTGACCTCTCCTTTGGGCCCCACATCCACTGGCTAAATCCTGCCGCCTCAACCTCCGGAACATTTCCAAAATCCGCCCCTTCCTGACCAATGACACCACAAAACAACTTATCCATGCCTTGGTTATATCCCGCCTTGATTACTGCAACTCCTTCCTCACTGGTCTACCGGTACACAGGTTATCCCCCCTTCAGTCTATTATGAATGCTGCTGCTAGACTCATACACCTTACCAACCGATCAGTGACTGCTGCTAGACTCATATACCTTACCAACCGATCAGTGACTGCTGCTAGACTCATACACCTTACCAACCGATCAGCGACTGCTGCCCCTCTCTGCCAATCCCTTCACTGGCTTCCACTAACCCAACCTATAAAATTCAAAATACTAACCACCCACAGCTCACAAAGCCATCCACAACACTGCCCCTAGCTACGTCGCCAACCTCATCCACAGATACCGCCCAAATCGTCCACTCCACTCCTCCCAAGATATCTTCCTCTCTAGCTCCCTCATCACCTCCTCCCACGCTCGCCTCCAGGACTTCTCCAGAGCCTCTCCCATCCTCTGGAACTCCCTACCACAGCATGTCCGGTCAGCCCCCACCCTGTCTGCCTTTAGGCGTTTTTTGAAAACTAACTTCTTCAGGGAAGCCTCCACCACCTCCACCTAAGAACTGCACTTGAATCATCTCCGCCAGATCATCCCCCGCAGCTATCACCTTTTGTATCACCTCCCCCTTCCTTTAGATTGTAAGCTCCACGAGCCAGGCCCTCCTATTCCTTCTGTACTGAAATGTATTGTAATTGTACTGTCTCCCTTATTTTGTAAAGCGCTGCGCAAACTGTTGGCGCCATATAAATCCTGTATAATAATAATAATAATAATAACAGATGAGGTAGAGCAGGAGTCAGAGGTGAATTCCAGAGAAAAGCCAGAGTTAGGGTAGGTAGCATTCAAGCAGGGGTAGACTGACAACTCATGGGGCCCCCGGGCAATAGGGGATCATGGGGCCCCTGTGTCCTTACCCAAACTCAAAAAAGCCTATGAAAAAGGTACCAGGGACATCTCATGGGGCCCCCTACTGACCCCGGGCCCTCGGGCAGTGCCCGAGTTTCCAAATGGTCAGTCCGCCCCTGCATTCAAGTATAGTCAGAGGCAAGCCAGGTGAGCAACAAAGAGTAAAGTACAGGAACGGGTAGCAGGTTACATGGATATGCTATAGATCAGAATGCAACGAGCTAGTGCAGCAGTCCAGTTTATATGATCCGTTTGGTATCAGTGCGAATGACAGTGTCAGGGATTCGGGTGTGACCAGAAGTGTGTGGACTGACGCAGGGAAACGCAAGCTTCAGATATGGTATAAATAAGACGCTTTATTAAAGACTAACAGTACAAACATAAACGCAGTGCACCAAACCCCAAGGTAACACAAATACATACAACAAGGTGAAACAAACCCAAACCTAAACTGATACAGATACCCAGGTACATACACATGTAGAGTACAACGTAGTCAGGCAGGCCGGGTCGGTAACTATCGGGCAGGTAGGTACAGGAGAAGCAGGCGGAGAGAATGGTCAGGGTCACAAGCCAGGGATCAAAACAGGAGAAGTCAGCAGAGGTCAGGATCAGGCAGGGTCGGCAACAAGTCAGGCAGAAACAGGAACAGGAACAGGAATGCAGGTTACAAGATACAGGGGCCCATGGAAAAACACACACCAAGGCACAGACTGCAGGTCTGGCCATCCCTTAAATACACCTGCAATCAGCCCCAGGTTATGGCTAATTGCCGAAGTGAACCTCTGGTTGTTGAGAGCACCCGCTGGCCAGCCCTGGTACTGCAGCCCACAAGGCAGGTGAGTCCCACCACTATTGGCAAGTCCATTCCTGACAGACAGATACGTGCGTGCCTGGTCATGTGTGCATGCCTGTGCAAACCTGTATGGCTAACCGCTGGTCTGCTCTTGCCCATCTGTATGCCCCCAAGGTACCATCTTCAGCATGGGCAAGCCTTCCCTGAAACTGTCATCGGCTCTTGCAGTTTCCTCTTTTGACTACAAGATGTTCTTGGTCTTTTGAGATAAATGATGCCCACTGCGAGTGGAGTGTATCATGGACCTGCCCCTGAGGGGATGATACCACAGCAACCAGCACTCACCATGTAATGGTATATAACAGTGATGAAGATGTTATCTCCAAGAACTGTCCACCACTGGCTAAATACCAGACCCCGTGATCTCATGTGATGGAGCTGAAGACTTCAAAATAGGTAAGTAAAAAAAAAAATAGTTTAGGCTATTTTTTTGGTTGGGGGTGGAAGAGGTAAGCGAGTTAGGCATTAAGAAAAGTTTATTTTTTGACTTTCAATTTGAAATTCCATTTATGAATCACTTGTAAACTCAATTTGTCTTTATTTATTTACTAGGTAGACTAGATTGGTTTGGCCTCTAAGTAACCTTGCAGAAATGTTGTGGTCAACCATTTCACATTTATTCATTTGACTTCGAGAAACCTTTAGAAAGACGCCAATGCACCTCAAAACGTCAGCTTCTGCTTTTCTCCATCTCCGTAATACCGAGGAAGATTCATCATCCATCCAGCGTTTATCAGATTCCTTCCGTGTAATCTGAATCGGCTCCACTTTTTTTTTACGGTGTCACAAATTAAGTAGTTTGTAGCTTCTAGGTATTTTTTAAAATGTATTGTCAGTTTAACGGCGAATAATATTTTTTCTCAATCTGGGATTATTAAACGAGGCGATAAAAATATTCCAAGGGAGGAAATTCATACCGCGAGGAGGAAATAATATATTGGAAATAAAAATTAGTTATTCCGTTGTAGAACATCATAAATGGGAAAAAAAAACATTGATAAATATGACCGTCATCGAATCGAGGTCTCGGAAATACCGAATGGCCGTAAAATTTTCAGAGGAAAAAAAAAGTACTTACGGCGGTAAATTGTATCTAAAATTGTCATGTGCATTTTAATTAAACTATAAACATATTTATACACGCAGAGCAAACGGTGTTACTTTTTAAAATAAAAATATATAGAAGGGGCAAAGTCTGATAAAGTAACATTGGCGTCTCAAATATAAATATATATATATTTTTTTTTTTATTATTTTTTTTAATTAAATAAATAACATATATAAATAAAAAATATAACTAAAGGCAAAACTTTTTTTTTTTAATTTTGGATTGAGTGACAAAGATTATAATCCTTGACAGTTTTTATTGCAGTCTGTGCCCCCATTAGAGAGATTCACCTTCTATTTGGCCTGTTTATTGCTATCGCCGAAAGTGAAAGAAAATCCCAAATTTTTGGGTTGTCACCAGAACAGGAATAAAGGGGAAATCTTTCAACGGGGGACACTAGTTCTGATGATTTTGCTTTCTTTTCATCTAGCTTGACTGTATTTTAATCATTTCTCTTTGAGATTGATAAAGTATTCTGAATCTGGTGATAACCAGGGATTCTCTCGCTTTAGAGGGATTTCCTCTCACTTCCAGTTTTGGCTATAGGACAGGAAGTCAAGAGAAATCTCCCCAATGGGACACCAATGGAGAAACAAAAAATTGAGAGGACGCATTTAATTCTACTTTGACTTTTTAAAATAATACTCCCACTTCCCACTTGTTTCCATTGCAAAAAGTTTATTTAATATAAAGTTGTGGGCGGGGCTTAAAGTGACCCTGTAGGGACAGGGTCACTTGTAAACAACACAACTTCTGTACAAAAATAGGCAAAATACTCACCTTTACAGTGGCCTGTGTGTTAGAACGCCGCATCCTTTCTGTTTTCCTGGCCGAAAGTATTCCACACCTCCATGTTCCTTTGTCCTTTCCCATACAGCATCTTATGAAGCCACCCTTGTATACAAGAACTAGAGTTGTGTCTTCCTATACTGTGTACATCAATAGAAACATACAGCCCCATAGCCTAGGATGGCAAGGCACTTCCCAGCTCCTCCCTCCTCCTTCAAGCTAATAGACTGGATGTAGACTGCATTGTCCACTGTTAAAGTGAAACTAAAGGTTTAAAAAAGCTCAGGTCTGCAAAAAAAAGTTGCATTCTAGCAGGCCCAGACTGGCCATAGGGCACATCAGGAATATGCTGCTGGGTCGCATGTCCTTGCGGCTCAAAGAAGCTGCAGCAGCTGGGCTGCTCCTTGAGCCCGCGTCACTCATCCGGCTTCTCCGCAGCCGGCTGCCCATTCGGTCAAGGCATCAAGTTGGGGGGGGGGGGGGGGGGTGAACACTACAGGTCAACTGACCCATGACTGTGAAAGAGGAGAAGCTGAAGGAGACCCGATCACCTGATGTCGGGGATAGGTGTCAATGCTTCCGCCTGCCTCAGACACCACGAGCCAGGGGCAGTAAGTGAGTGCCAGACTGCTCTTAGTAAAAAAAGACAATTTATGAGTTTAACTTTTTGGTGTGCTGATATAGAGCTGATATTGTGCTGATATTATGTCTGATGCTGGCATGTGGCCTTCACTTTACCTTCTGTTATCCTCTGTTTAGTATGTGCAGTAACCTCTAGCAACCAGTTAGCGGTACTGATGTACAGTAACCGCTAGCATCCAATAAGTTAGCAGTACTGATGTGAACTAATCTCTAGCAACCAATCAGTGAACAGTAATGATGTGCAGTAACCTCTAGCAACCAATCAGTTAGCAGTACTGATGTGCAGTAACCTCTAGCAACCAATCAGTAAGTGGTAAGGATGTGCAGTAACCCCTAGGAACCAATCAGTGAGCTGTAATTATGTGCAGTAACCTCTAACAACCAATCAATGAGTGGTAATGCTGTGCAGTAACCTCTAGCAACCAATCAGTGAGTGGTACTGATGTGCAGTAACCTCTAGCAACCAATCCACAAGCAGAAATGATGTGCTGTGACCTCTAGCAACCAATCAGTGAGCGGTCATGATAATGAAAATAAATGGGCTGCTCAATCTAAAATTCCCAGGCCTTTTTTTTGTCCCAGTCCGGGCCTGTATTCAAGTATATACTCTTAACTCAAAAAGAAACTTCTATTGATCTCAGCTCCTTCAAATCCCCTTCCCTTTTTTTTTTTTTGGCCGTGATGCGACTTCCTGTTGGAGTGTGGCTACATTAAATCTTTTCTGGTTGTATTCACTATGGATCCCATCATGAGCTTAATGCAGCACGTTCTACCATTTTTTCCTTCACGCGAAACCTGGAACTGACTGCGCTGGTGTACCGGGTCCATTTGAATACATGGAAAACACTTTACATGCATTTCTGATGATGAAAAAAAAGCACTGGACAGCATCTGGACATGGAATAGTTAAAAAAAACTCTTCTAAAGGCAAATGCTTATAAATGCAGTTAACCGCGTTTACAAGCATTTACACGCATTTACAAGCATTTGGCGTTTGAAACGCCGGTAAAATCTGCTCCTGAATGCAAGTTTGGTGCATTCAAAAAAAAACAACTGTAAACTCAACTGCCTGTAAACAACTGTAAACAAAGATGTGTACATGGACACATAGGGAAACATTAGGGAGAGTTCAGGGGCTGCTGAAAAAAACCGCTGAACAGCTCCTGAACGTGACTTTAGCAGATGCAGTGTACAGGAGCCAGGGGCGGACTGACCATTTGGAAACTCGGGCACTGCCCGAAGGCCCAGGGTCAGGCCCATGAGATGCCTCTGGTACCTTTTTCATAGGCTTTTTTGAGTTTGGGCAAGGACACAGGTGCCCCATGATCCCCTATTGCCCGGGGGCCCCATGAGTTGTCAGTCTGCCCCTGACAAGAGCCCTAATAGATTTCCCTAATTTTCTATGCTGGTGACAATGGCCACCAGGACAAAGAGTGATGGCGAATCTCCCTAGTGTAGACAAATACAGCAGTAAAAATCTAACAGAGAGTTCCTACCCTTTCATTCTCCATCCAAAACTAAAAAAGAAAATGATTTGGGTAGAGATACACTTTAAGAAGAGTTTTGTTGTGAGTGCGACATACCAACTTGTTAGCAGCAGAAGGGCAAACAAGGAAGTCTTCAAACTGATCTCTAAGAAGGAACATTGCTTTATCACGAAGTCTAATACCTGAGACTGTGTTTGTGCTCCAATCTTTTCATCATGTGAAGCTTTGATAAGGCGTTGCATAAAAGAAGCCGAGTTTGTTATCCCAGGTTCAGGATTACTCAGTCTTCAGTAATGATCAACAGCCACAAACAAGGGCAAACGCTGAAGTGATTCCACACAACCCTGAGAAAAGCAGAAGGGTACCAGAACATTTACGTACGCCCAACCACTAACACCTCATATACATTTTAAGATGTTAATATCATTTCGAAAGTTGTTCAGGTTATTTTTTTATTCTTGATTGCCAAATGCCCAAAATGAAGACTTCTTGTGTTCTGAGCCTTTATCCATTGAAATACATACTGCCCTGAATGTTGGTATCACTTGGTGCACCAAGCAGCCCCGTCCAGCCACGGCAGCTGCCAGCCTCTCATAGAGTTTAATATGCTGCCGACGGTGAGGCTGGATGGTGCACCTAAACGTTTGGATCTCATGAATAAGGATTAAATACCCAGTGTTCATGATACCTTAGGTAGAAATTTGGGTTTACGGTGGCACAGATATTGCCTTAAGGAGAGGCCAGTGTGCCTTGAAAACTTGCACTATAATCTATTTAGCGAACCAATAAATGGTGTCACCCTAAACCCAAACTCTTACTTTTGTTAAAGACAATGCAGTACAAAACTCCATTTCTATTTCTGTTCCAGCATGACTGTACTCCTGCGTACAAAGCCAGCTCTGTAAAGACATGGGTTGATGAGTTTGGTGTGGAGGAACTCAAATGACCCTGAGTTCAACCCTACAGCATGCCTTTGGGATGAACTGGAACAGCAACTGTGAGCCAATTCAAATGAACTTACGTGGCCTGCAGGGAGCCCTGACTTTAACTGTACAGAACATCTTTGGGTTAAATTGGAATACCAACCGTAAGCCAGGTCTAGCGAGCTCAAGTAGCCTGCGCAGAGCCTTGACCTCAACCCTACTGAACACCTTTGGGTTAAATTGGAACACCAATTGTAAGTCAGGTGAATCGAACTCAAGTGACCTGTATGAAGCCCTAGCTTAACCCCACTGAACACCTTTGGGATGAATTGCAACACCAGTTGTGAGCTAGGTCAATTGAACTCAAGTGGCCTGCACTAGGCCCTGACCTCAACCCTACTGAACACCTTTAGGATGACTTGGAACACCAATTGTGATCTGGGGCAAGTGAATTCAAGTGGCCTGCACAGAGCCCTGACCTCAACTCTACTGAACACCTTTGGGATGAATTGGAACACCAACTGCAATCCAGGCGATGTGAGCTCAAGTGACCTTCATGCAGCCCTACCTTAACCCTACTGAACAACTTTGGGATTAATTTGAGCACCAATTGTGAGCTAGATCAATTGAACTCAAGTGGGCTCCATCAGGCCCTGACCTCAACTCTACTAAACACCTTTTGGTTGAATTGAAACACCAATATTGCGCCAGGTCTTCTCATCCATCATTAGTGATGGAATTCACAAATGTTCACATTTCCACACTCCAAAATCTTGTGCACTGGCATCCCAAAAGAGTGGAAACTGTTATAGCCGCAAAATGGTTCCCATGTAAAAATACACAAATAGTAAAAATGTAATAGGTACAAAATTTGACTATAAAAATCAGTAAATAAATTTTTGGGGCAACAAAAACCTCCTTCATCAGGGCTTGATGCAAGAGAAATTAAACTTGAAAGGAGTCAAACTTTAAATTCAGATTTTAGACACCAGCCCCATCATAAGTGTGCTCCTGAGCACAAAGCTAGCTACATAAAGGCATGGGATGATAAGTTTGATGTGGATGTAGCCTACATGGAGCACTTACCTCAACCCTATTCAGGGGCGGACTGACAACTCATGGGGCCCCCTGCAATAGGGGATCATGGGGCCCCTGTGTCCTTGCCCAAACTCAAAAAAGCCTATGAAAAAGGTACCAGGGGCATCTTATGGGGCCCCCTACTGACCCCGGGGCCTCGAGCAGTGTCCGAGTTTCCAAATGATCAGCCTGCCCCTGACCCTACTGAACACCTTTAGGATGAACTGGAACACCAGGTGTGAGTCAGGTCTATTGAAGTCAAGTGGCTTGCATGAAGCCCTGACTTCAACCCTACTGAACACCTTTGGGATGAGATGGAAGACCAAATGTGAGCCAGGTCAAGGAGACTCAAGCGGTCTGCACTAAAGCATTGATCTCAACCCTACCAAACACCTTTGGGATGAGTTGGAAGACCGAGTATGAGCCAGGTCAAGGGAGTTCAAGTGGTCTGCACTAACACCTTGAATTCAACCCTACTGAACACCTTTGGGATAAATTAGAACACCAGTTGTGATTCAGCTCCATTGAATGGCCTGTATCAAGCCCTGACCTCAACCCTACTGAACACTTTATGGGATGAACTGGAATGCCGATTGTGAAACAGGTCCTCCCATCCAACATCAGTACCTGACTTATTTTGGCTGAATGGACACAAATTCCCATAGACACACTCCAACATCTTGTGGATCACCTTCCCAGAAGAGCAGAGGCCATTATAACTGCAAAAGGGTTTTCGATGCAAACATACACAAATGGGAGCCAAACCATGATATAAAAAAAAATTTAGTAGGTTCACAATAAAATCTTAAATAACAGGCAATGCATTTTGGAGCAACAAAAACCTCCTTCATAAGAGCTCGAAGCAAGGGAATGGAGACTTGAAAGAATTCAACCTTCAAATTAAAAATCAGGATTTTGGAATGGAATGTCCCACAAAAGAGGCGAAGGTCAGTTGCCCACAAACTTTAGGATATCTATGGTAACCCATTAAAAACTCACAAAGCTGTTTTCTAATGTCTGAAGGTAGCCAGTGTTATTTGGTCCGTTGGTCATCTGATTCTTCACGATTAGCTTGAAATGTGTTTGAAATATATGATAGATTTTCAGAAGGTCTTTGTGCTCAGATGACGGACAGCTCTAATGTTGCGTCCCCTCCAGTGCGGGTTATAATCGCTGGACCTTCATAAATAACTGTAGCACGGCATGACCTTTCACATTCCTTACAAATCAACAATCCTCACCGACTGCTAATCAAGAAGCTTTTCAGACAGCGAACAAAGAGAAAAAAAAAAATCAAGGTAAGACACTTCAGTTGGCCTACTAGGTCCAATACTATAATTATTTCTGATTTCCAGCCTTTTATAAGAAATTGGAAAATCTTGTGCTGACAATGGACTTTTACTATCACATCTGGTACTGAATCATGTTCTGCAGCGCTTTAAAGTAGATCTAAAACCATACCAGGGGCATTTGGAAACTCAGGCACTGCCTGTCAAGGTCCTACCTTTTCCCAGAGGTTATGTTACTCCATGTGCTGGCATCCATCTTGGATTTCTGCTGAGCATGGTGGGAATCCTTTATGCCTTCAGGTCTCTGAAGTCCATCCCCCAGAGGGGTGTGGCTGATGACATATAAGCCTGTGGTCCGCACATGCTCTTTGCACTTGTGTCTTGTGTCTTTGTGTCGCTATTACTCTGTTCTGACTCTCGTGACTCTCCTGGAATCTGACTCGGCTTGTGACTCGACTATTCTTTGTGTTCTCCTTTGATCTGACCCTCTGTTGCTGAACCCGGCCCGTGACCTGTGATTCTCGTCTGCTGTCCTATACCGTTTTGTCCCGTTGTTGTTGACCCGGCCTGCCTGACTACTCTATTGTCTTTTCCACCAGCTACACGCCATTGGCGGCAGCCATTACCGCAACTGAGGTGTCTCGGGGGCCGCGACCTGGTTCCTGGCTGCGTCAAGTCCATCCCCACCATCAGGGGCCCTGGTGAAGGGCAGCCTGGGACTTAGACTCCGCGCCCTGAGGGACTTCGGTCTGTGGGTGGTGGTTGTCGTCAGCCAGTGCGTTACATTGTTTAAGCCTGCCTGTCCGTTCCTCAGCTCCTGCCCTGACACTGCCCAAGGGCCCGGGGTCAGTAGGGGGCCCCATGAGATGCCCCTGGTACCTTTTTCATAGGCGTTTTTGAGTTTGGGCAAGGACACAGGGGCCCCATGATTCCCTAATGCCCGGGGGCCCCATGAGTTGTCAGTCTGCCCCTGACCCTTACCTAAAGTTTACTAAGTCACTATATAATAAACAATCGCTGTTTTATATATTTTTTTGTCATAAAAAAAGCAGCTTAACTGTTGTTATCTGTCTTTATTCCAGTGCTGCTGATCTCCTCCAGCCGATTTCAGAGACTTCCTGTCTACATGCCCCCATTCCAGTGTTAGATGCACATCATTGCTATAGACTGGCTTCCTGATGGTGACAACAGCGGACCATGCCTGACAAAATGACCCTGAACAAGGACTTTCATGGCAGGATCTCTATGAGATTTTCTAAATGAAACCTGCAGATTTAAATAAATTGAAGGCAGTTGAAATGATGTTAACATGCTAAAGCTTCCTGCCAGGATGAAAGTAAACCCAGGACTTCAGTACTGCAAAATAAACAGATCACCACACTATCAAAAGTATATTTCTGATCCCAGAAGATTCCAGCAGACCTTAGCCTCATCCACAGACTCAATATGTAGCAATCTAAAACAATGAGGGTTGCAGCTCCAAATAAATATTTATATGTTGATATACAGGTATGTCTATTGGAAATGTACATCTTTATTTGATGCTGCAATTGCTCGACGCCCCATTTACACCTTTAGATTCCTGAGAGTGCAAAAATATGCATCACGGTTGGGATGCCATTTTTAATTAAATGACACCTTAAACACAGTTGCACATTTTGTTACATGACAAAATACATGAAAAACATCAAAATATGCGAAGTTCACTACCAAAAAAAAAGAGCAGGAGCAACTTTGGGATGTTTGTTGCGACAAACATGCACAAAAATGTGCATGTGTTTACCGTACAGGTGTGAATGCAGCCTGAGAGTAGTATGAATATATAACTAATGGAGGAAAGGAAAAGGAAAAAGGAAAGTGAACAGCAAGGGGGAAAGGAAAGGAAAAGGAAAGGAAAGGAAAGGAAAGGAAAAGGAAAGGAAAGGAAAAGGAAAAGGAAAGGAAAAAGGAAAAGGAATGTGAACAGCAGGGGGAAAGGAAAGGAAAAGAAAAGGAAAGGAAAGGAAAGGAAAGGAAAGGAAAGGAAAGGAAAAGGAAAGGAAAGGAAAGGAAAAGGAAAAGGAAAGGAAAAAGGAAAAGGAATGTGAACAGCAAGGGGGGGAAAGGAAAGGAAAGGAAAGGAAAAGGAAAGGAAAAGGAAAGGAAAGGAAAGGAAAGGAAAAAGGAAAAGGAATGTGAACAGCAAGGGGGAAAGGAAAGGAAAAGGAAAGGAAAAGAAAAGGAAAGGAAAGGAAAAGAAAGGAAAAGGAAAGGAAAGGAAAGGAAAGGAAAGGAAAAGGAGGAAAGGAAAAGAAAGGAAAGGAATGGAAAGGAACGGAAAGGAAAGGAAAGGAACGGAAAGGAAAAAGGAAAAGGAATGCGAACAGCAAGGGTAATGGGAATGGAAAGAGGAATGGAATGGAATGGAAATGGTAATAGGAATGGGAATGGAAAAAGGAAAAAGGAAAGGAAAGGGAAAGAGGAAAGGAAAAAGTTAAGAGAAAAGGAAAGCGAACAGCAAGGGTAATGGGAATGGAAAAAGGAAAGGACAGGAAAGGGAAACAGAAAAAGAAAAGAGAAATGAAAGGAGAGAAGGAAAGGGAAGGAAACACACAGAATTCAGCCGATGGTTTTGATTTTACTGATGGGGATGGGAATGGAAAGAGGAAAGGGAAAGGAAAGGAAAGGAAAGGAAAGGAAAGGAAAGAGGAATGCAAACAGCAATGGTAATAGGAATGGGAATGGAAAAAGGAAAGGAAAGGGAAAGAGGAAAGGAAAAAGAAAAGAGAAAAGAAAAGGAAAGCGAACAGCAAGGGTAATGGGAATGGAAAAAGGAAAGGACAGGAAAGGGAAACAGAAAAAGAAAAGAGAAAGGAAAGGAGAGAAGGAAAGGGAAGGAAAGAGAAGGGAAGGGAAGGCAAGGGAAAGGAAAGGAAAAGGAAAGGAAAAGGAAAGGAAAAGGAAAGGAAAAGGAAAGGAAAAAGGAAAAGGAATGCGAACAGAAAGGAAAGGAAGGGAAAGGAAAATGAAAATCCTGTAATAAATCTGGGATCTGCAATTATCAATCCCAATGTGTTCACAGGTTCAGGCATCGCCTTTTGAACTCCTGCCCAAGAGCCCCACTAATGATTTGCCTAATGTGTGATAATAAAACTCAGATTAAGATAAGCCGAGTTGGCTCTCTGACCTTAACACAGTTGCATTGTTTTCTGCATAGCAATGGAAGCCCTGTGATTCATTTTGCTTGTTGCCTGGAATTGCTTTTGATATTCACTGCTTCAATACATTCTCCTCTGGAGCTTGCTGGAGACCAGGTACTGTGTTCTCAGAGCCTTGGGCTATGGAAGGCTGTGAGTGAAAAACACACATGAGGGACAGATAAAATCTTTTATTTATTTATTTTATTTTATTTTATTTCAATATTTGTGCGGCGCTCAGGGAGCCCTGAGTTCTGCCTTATAATTACTCGGTACAGTGGCAGTGCTGTACGTTCTGACCCACGCTGCGCTCCACGTAATACAAACTGTGCCTGTTTTACAATCTTCATTAAAAAGAACACACAGAATTCAGCCGATGGTTTTGATTTTACTGATGGGAAAAATTACCAAGTAATACATTAGTATAAAAATACACAACATCTAAATGTTATTAGGAAAACTGAGATTGGATAGAGAGATAGATAGATAATAGATAGATAGATAGATAGATAGATAGATAGATAGATAGATAGATAGATAGATAGATAGATAGATAGATAGATAGATAGATAGATATAGATAGATAGATAGATAGATAGATAGATAGATAGATAGATAGATAGATAGATAGATTTGGATAGATAGAAGGATAAACATCTGGATACAGCAAAGAAATTGTATTTCTAATGACACCCCAAATGCAGCTCACAAGCTGATTCAAATGAAAATCCCATCGCACAGGGATCACACAGGCTCTGTGCAATTCTGGTGTGAACCTACCCTTTCCACTTTAAATGGTATTCCATTTCCAGATTATTCTTCTGCTTGAAATGGAGAAAAAAAGGAAAGAAAGGAGAA